ATAATATGAATTTAAATAAGTATTAGAGTATGTGAAATACTCGAATACTCTAAATTACATTTCGGCAAGTCCTGACATTATTTATTATTAAAGAGTCTAGACGTTTACGTTTGAGTTTGACAAGTTCGGATTGATATTAATATTAATTTTATTGTTTGCAGAAACCTCTTACATTTACAGCCTTATATGTTAGCTGTGTGCATTGGCCATATTTAAAAGTTTATTTGAAGTTTCGAGCCGCAAATAGAAACCGAAAACCCGCGAGCGAGGTAAATGCTAACTCAAGTGTTGTTTACATATGACATCAGGAATTTTCATGTTGGTGTCAACGTTGTCAGTGTCTGACTGCAGAGGGGAGCTGTGGAAGCGTGAACCGGCGAATAACTCTTTCGATTCTAATGCCATTCAATGGCAACTTGCAACCCCCGCCCCATGGCCCACAGCCCATTCTCACCCCGTTAAGGCAAACAATTCGATGGCAGTAATCAATCTTCCTCCACACTGTGCGAGCTGACAGCTCCGTGGTGTAGAGTCAAATTGCGATCTTTGTTTGTCCCGGTCTCGGTCCCGGTCCCGGTCCCGGCCAGAATCGAGTGCACAGGCCCCCCAAGTACCCATGCGTCACACAGGCTGGGGGAGGGAGAGAGAGAGAGAGAGAGTGGGTGGTGGAGGCTCGCTTGTTCCTGTTCCATTTATGCGTGTCAAAGGTTGCGCCAGAGGGCGACAGATTGAAGCGAGGCGAAGGCAGCCGACACAAATGTTGTACTTGTCACGGTTGTTGCGGTAGTTGCATCTTTTGCTTCAAGTCCCACAAGAGCGAAAGAGAGTGAGCGACAGAAAGAGAGGGAGAGAGTTGGGGTACATACATGTGACAGGCTAGCTAAAATCTCACATGATAAATAGTCAATAAATACTTTTATATCTATATAAGCACTAAATATATATATAATATATATGTGTGTACATATGTATGTCTGTGTGTGTGTCGCTGCAAATGAGTCGTAAAATTTTTTCTATTCTTGTTTGATTTAATTGATTTCACTTGTCATTTAACCTTTTGACTAAATACTAAACAAAAGAGTTCATAATTAACGCGATTATTGCGGCCATGGATATCGTATGGCAACTAGATAGCTAATAGTTATACGAATAGTTCATTCATCAATAGAAAATGTTATTTATATAGAATCATGCGAGAATCAATCAATTCTTAATTGCGATTCTAATGTCATGAAATATTTGAAGCCAATATCGACCAAGAGTTACTAAATTTATTAAATATGGACTTCAGAGTTTTGGCTAGAGTTATATATGTATATATACATACAATTATGCATGTATAGACATATGTATATACTTATACACCAATGCAAAACTTTTCTAATCAATATTGGCAAAGTTTATCGATAATGAAATGCAATGCATTAATGTTATTGAAATAATAAAACTAATATCTGCCACAACAGCTGCTGATGAAATATTGTCCACAAAACAATCTGCTTCAAAGCGGAAGCAATATTCAAACTGAAGACACACTCACTCACATACACACACGCACACACAAACATACACGCATACTTCTTACGTAAATGTGAGTGCGTTTTCTTTGCCGTTCGAGCAAAATTTCAATATGTGGAAATTACATTATGATATGATGACACCGATTTATCTAAGTGAACAGCCGGCAAAAGGGCGGATGTGAAACAACATTTGGCTACGATTTGTAATACAATTGAGGCTTGTAGCAAATTTACTTTTGGCAAAATATTTTAAAATATATATAAGAAATATGTAAACAGGCCTCAATATATATTTTGAAATATCTAAATTGTTATCAATAAGTCCAAAAACAGTTTCTTTGACAAATATAATAAATTACAAAAAATAAAAATATTCATATATATTTTACTTATATTTATTTATTGAAATATAAATCAAAATATCGTTAAATTTTAATATTTAGTAATTTAAATAGTTTAGATATATAGTCAACAATTTTATTTAATATTATTAAATAATATATATATTTTTAAAGCGTTAAATAGAACATACAATTAAATTATAAATAAGTTTAAAATATCGATATATGATTATTTGTTTAACATAATATTAATTCAAATTTTTTTACGTTAAATAGGAAAATAAATTATTAAAAATTAATTTTAATCATTAATCATTCAATAAATGTTGTAGAAAGTCAAAATCAACCTCAAAAGATTCATAAGAAGCTTCAGATATCGTTGGAGAGCTCGAACTGGAAGCCCAGTCAAGTTGTTGGGCGCCAATTGGAGCAGAATTTAATTGATCGAAATTGTGGAAGGATTCAAGTGATTCAAAGGAATCATATGAGGCGGTGGATGAACAGGCAGATGTAGTCATCGAGCTAGCCGAATTCCAAGCCGCTTGCTGATCTGTCGTCGTAGCACTTATGAACTGATCGATAGGTGGAATATATTGTGTTTCTTTCAGATCTCCACTACCTTGCCATAAGTCGGCGCTGGGCCAATCATTTTGCCACATGCTCAGATCAGTCAGACCAGGAGTTGGAAGTCGATCAGGAAACTGATCTACATTAAAATCGAATTGTTGCTCCATGGGGGCGTAGTTATGTGGCTGCTCGGGCAGCTGAAATGTCTCAGGATGAGGACCCCCGCTCACATATTGCAATAGACGTTCGACAATCAGTTCATGCTCACTGAGTGGCGGCTGTAGAGGATCAGGGGATTGAATTGGAGCCGAATTTAGGAACAATTTGGAGCTCAGTTGTCTGTTGGCCTGTTTCTTGCTTTTCATGCGACGATTCTGGAACCAAATTTTCACTTGTCTTTCAGTAAGCTGTAGACGTTGAGCGATGCCGATGCGACGAGGTCTACCCAGATATTTGTTCTCATTGAACTCGCGCTCCAGCTCGAGCAGCTGGTGACTTGTGAAGGCGGTGCGAGAGCGCTTGCACTTGGAGGCGGCTGGAGGGCAGTGGATTTCGGAGGATTGAGGTAAGTTTGTCTGGGAGTAGAGAAGGAGAAGTATATATTATAGAATTATTTTTATAATTCCAGAAAAGGTCAAACTTACGAAGTCGTCGAACATCATATACGATTCACTTGTATTGCAGTTKTTGTACATTTCGCTGAGAGAGCTGAGCTGAGCTTCTGTTCGGTGACACATTTGTTTTTTAACTAGTTGTCATTCCGTGTTGTCGCTTTACTTTTATACTGTACAGGTAAATCCAGCCACAGATCGGAAAACTCTTCCCGGCTGCTACCTGTGAGCGCACGGCGTCACGACTCTGCCCAGCCGGCTGTTGTAATATGTCGCGTCCAGATTCTGTCTCCGCAAGGTCCTCGACACATTTGGTAAGTGGCGTGAGTCCTGATTGCGAAACGACTGCCGACGACGTCGTATGAGTCTAATTATAATGCATAATTCAATTGACTCCTAAGAGACATTAGCAAACCAATCGAAAGTCAGACATGTACAAAAAATGTAAGTGTACTGAGATTTTCACCAGAGTACAAAATATAATATGAATTCGTTGGAGAACTGGAGCAAAAAAGATTATAAGTGTATTATATTAGTAATACACTTATAATCTTCTTTATTATTTATTATTATTTTATATGGTTATATCATCCAGATTTTATATACTAACCATACTTTTATCGATTGATATTATTTTATATTATATACGTATTATAGATATGATATGTCTTATTCCAACTCTAGCCAAAAATGTGCCTGATCGACAACTGTTAAAGCTAAGCTAAACATGGAAAGTTTTGCTTGTAGACCTCTGCTATAAAGAGGCATCAGGTAAATTTTCGCCTTTAGCTCAGATATGAAAGAGAAATAAATTGGTTTTCCCGCGGGTTTTCCAAAAGAACAGTGAATACTTCACCCTCAGCTACCTGTCTTACCTGAACAAAATCACGAGCTAAACTTAATCCCCGCCAATAAAAATGAGCTCTCGCCCGGTGCATGTGTTACCACCTCACATATATAAAATTTTATGGCAAGAGGCTAAAAGAAAAGGGAATCGCGCGAAGGATTATGCAAAATAACGAAAGATCAGAACAGCTAACCAATCTTTAAGATTATACTAAATAACCTACACACAAGATTATTTCTTATATGAGTTCGCAAATCCATTCCAATAATCACTAGAATTTTAAATACGATATTATCGAGTCATAACCCCGATTTTTGCTCGAATTACTCTGACATATATTTACAAGTAAGAATTTTGTAAATCCAAATTTAAGCAAAATAATAATCATAATAAAAGGTAGAAGAAAATAATGAAAAAACAATTCAATAATTATATATTATCTTAAATACTTCAATAAAGCTTAGCTATTGTAGAAAAATATTTGTCATTATTCTATAAGTTCTTAAATTGTTAACAGTGTATTTAGTCTACTCGTTCGTAAACTTTTAGCGACTACTGTGCAGCATAAATGAAACAAACAACGAACGCAGCTAGCGATTGCCAATAAAAACAGAATGTGAAAAAGTGAGGGAGCAGAAAAACGAATGCCACCAAGATTGACAACATGATGGTTAGACAGACAAGAAGAGGCGCTCAAAACAAAAGAAAGACGCGCAGCGTGCAAAGCGAAATGTCAAAAATACGCAGTGCCGGAGACAACAAAAATAAAAAGCAACAAAAACGAGTGATAGATAGAGAGAGAAAAAAGAAATGGAAGCTCGTCACTGCTGCGACGGAATGTGTAAATAACAAAAAGCAAATAAATTCCGTCACACGCAACACGTTTACCGTAAAAACAGCGCTGCAGCTGCTGAACAGACAGACAGCGCCGGCGACAAAGCCACAAAGCGACAGAGCAACGCAAACATACACATGCGCTGCGACCAATCAGCGATGCGGAGACTTTGCAGCCGCTGACTGTGTGCGCGTGTGTGAGTGAGTGCGGAGAGTGTGAACGAGTGTATGAGTGGCTCTATCGTCTACCTGAGTGCGACTGGCCCGGCAACTACTTTTGCCATATCCATTGCGCATGCACCTCTCCGCTCTCCGCTTATCATTGCACGAGCCGTGGAGATCTAGCGATAACAGCTACAACAACAATGTGCAGTAGAAGTAAACAAGAAATGAAATGAAATAAGTTATTAAGATATTATTGTTTTATAAAGTACTGATATGTTGATATAAGTTTGATTTCATTAAGAAAGCTCTAATGTGTGTTAAAATGAAAAGTGATAAAAGCTTTTATTATTATTTTATAATATAATTTATGTACAAGTTTAAG